TACCGGCCTTGGCCTTGGCGGCCACGTCGTTGAAGTAATCAAACATCAGCAAGGTCTTCTTCAGACCTTCGGCAGCCACACCAGCCACTTCGGCGTCGTCCAGCAACTCGATCAGGGGGTGCACGTTGTAGCCACCCACCATGGTGCCCAACAACTCGGTGGCCTTGGCTTTGGAGATCAAACCGACCTTCACGTCGCCATGGGCCACGGCGGCCAGGAAACTGGCCTTGACCTTGGCGGCGTCGTCCACGCCCGGGGGCACACGGTGGGTCAATAAGTCCAGCAGAGATGTGTATAAGAGACAGGCTATGGAAAGATCGGGTTCCAAAGGCCGGATCCCTTGTGAATCAAGTCACGAAAAGTTCAAGAATCGGCAACAGGCCATGGGCCTATTTCTTCAACGCCGACAATTCTATTCTATTCTATTCTAATGGTGTGTCGCTGGTACTATGATGGCGGCGTGTGGCAACTTGTGTCATTGCCAGATATATCGTGTTAGGCAGGAAACAAGGTCTTAAAATGATTACTAGAATTTGATACAAGAACCAACACCAGGGACCACGGCTATAAACTAAAAAATGCGTTGCAACTCATCTGCGCGACATCTCTTTTCGCTTCGAATCACCAACATGTGGAACAGCCTCACGGATTACAACTTTGACGCTCCAAGTATGAACGCGTTCAAGAACAATATAGATGAAGTTATGGAGAAATAAATGTTCAGACTTGAAATACCTAGCAACATATCGAACTTGGTGGATGTATTGTAGCTATTCCAAACTATCGTCAGTTTTAAAAAATCCGGTTAAAGGATCTTTTTCTAGATCTCCTGTGAGCAAGTAACGATAAGTGCAGGAATCGGCGACAGGCCTTATTAGGCCTATTCTTCAGCGCCAACATCAGTATGATATATGATTTGAAAGGAAATATCTTCTGAAATTCCCTTGCATACCACAGTTTGGTAACCACTATTAAAATAATAGTTTTTTTGGAAGGCTAACGAAAAATCGCGATCATCTGGTTTTCCAGAATAATCGAAATACCATTATATCTTTCACAGCAGCAAAGAGTCGGAGTTGATGATGCGTATGATTCATCAATACCACCAAAGTATTTTATTTCAACTATGTATTTTTTATAAATTATAGTATTTGTTTAAGAAACTGAAAAATTACTTTTGCATAGTCAATAATATTCGTAATTTTAGTGTGTCAGAGCCTGTATATTTCATGTAAACATTTAATGATAGGCACGATAATGCAGTTGAGAGCATTATCGTGCCTATCATTTTGCTTGAGCATCGCACCGAACCGACTACATTAGAAGCTTGAAGCCATTTAGATATAGGACCCTATTTACGCACTTGCCTAAAATTCTCCTCCAGGATGAAACATCATGCCAATACATGATTAGAAGACAAATCTTTTCACTGTTATAGACAACGAAATCTCAAAAAAATACTCTGTACGCGTATATATAAGCCTGCCTGCATGAATTTCTGTTAATACTTCCGCATCTTGTTTAAAGCTAGAAAGTATAAGATACACTGTCTGAAAAAATCGTTGGAGAAAGCCACACAGATCAGGATTCTTATTTATTCATATCCTATCGTAGGAAATCTAGACAATAACCAAAATATCTCCAATTGAATTGCGTGAGAACCTTTTTAACGAAAAGCTTGAAATAATATTCTGAGTAACCAAAATGATTAAATTTTACATTTGAAGCAGATTAATATGCCGTAGATAAGGTTTAGGTTAAGCCGAAATATGGTGTACGCTTTTTTTTAAATTCAAGGTTGGTTCAAATTAACAATCTAAAAAATAGTAAAAATGATGTTGAGATTTCACTGAAAAATAAGTGGTTTCATGGAGATCTGATTTAATTTGTACGAGATGAAGATTTTCAATCTTTTCTAGCATTACTAACAATACTATATAAATGAGTATTACTTTTAATTTATCTTACTTATTGAGCTAATAATTAGCAGGGCAAGTAATATTACGATTTTGAATTTAATAGTGAAGTTTAGAGCAGGTGTTTGGTGGTGTCTGGCCATTTTAAAAATCCTTGCCTGTTGTTGCCAGGGTAGAAGATATTTTAGTTTTACCGTCATTGGTAACTTTAAATCATTCATATCCCGTACGTGTTCACGAGTTAGTTGGAATTGTTGTTTAGTTTTAATTTTTCAAATAAAATATGACGAAATATCTTATAAAATTAAGA